GGTTGGACTGGGTGACCCACAGAGGTCCCTTCCAGCCCCCACCATGCTGTGGTTCTGTGTGCTTACTGCTTGGAGTGGATGTGGGCTGCTGTGGCAGTTTGCAGCCCTAACAAGGGAAGGGAGATGGTTTCTTTGGTGTGAAGGAAGCCTTTTCTCAAGAAAAAGCAAAAGCAGGCCACGAGTGAGCGCAGTGCCTTAAACATACCACAGTCCAACCTGCTAAAATTTGTTTTGTAGGTACAGTATGGCTAAAGTCATTGACATGAGAGCTGCTCCTTGTCGTAAAGAGGAGATGCAGGAGACGAACAGGAGGCTGCGGACATATTTGGGGGCAGGTGGAGCTGGACCTGGCTTGGTGCTGGGCTCGGTGGTGTGCAGTGATGGCTCAGATGGTCCCGCTTGGCCGGCGAGTCCGTCTCGGCCAGGCCGATTAGTGCCGGGCGAGAGCTCTGCAGGGGCAGAGCTGGCAGACCGTGGCAGACTGGGCATCCCAGGCGCGCCTGGCAAGGGCTCGAGCAGCTTCTTGGCTGCGATCCCCGCTCACGTTGAGCAGCGTTTCGCCTTTTCCAGCCTCCAGCAAGTGGGAGGACCTGTGCAGCAGGTACTGATCCAGGAAAAACAAGGCTTCCCAAGGCAAACAGGGAGCGGGGACTGAGCGTGTCAATGCTGTGGGCCAGGAGGGTTTTCCTATTGTCTTGGTTATCCTCCCTCCTTGGTGCGAGAGCAGTTGTCGGTTTGTCTGATCAAGTGACAGCGACTGTGCCCTCTTTATTGTTGCTAAATCGCTCTCCTTCTCGTTCCAGCGAACATGATCTGGGGGAGGATATTTATGACTGCGTCCCCTGTGAAGATGAAGGCGATGATATCTACGAAGATATCATCAGAGTGGAAGTTCAGCAGCCCATGGTAACAATTTATATGCATTTTTTTAACGCTGTGCCTTGGTGGGAGGGGAAGGGAGAAGATTCAATTAAATAAATAAGTATCTGCCAATGACAGGTGATGCTGCAGGGAAGCGAATCGCTTTGCATCCTTCCTTGAAACTGAGCTGCCTCATGAGGGGTGAAAATAAGCTGAGCTGGGATGGTGCTGGCCCAGAGGGGGTTCTCCAAGAGGTTTTCCAGCCCATCTTGTCATCTGAAGGAGTTTCGGGAGGAGGAAGGGAAAGGGAGAACTAACAAGCCCTAAAAGATAAGGTAGAAATAGCAGCTGGCTGCTGAGCCAAGGCAGCGTGTGTCGGTGCAGCCCTTCCTGGGATGGGGAGCGCGGCGGCTCTGCCCGCTCCAGCAGCCAGATGTGCCGTGTCTGCCACCGGGGTTTTTAGATCGGGGCGAGGGGCGAGCGCTGACAGATCTGTGCGTGGAGGATCCAGCACTTGTTTGTGCCTGTTGCCACTCCTGCCTGGGTGTCTCAGAGCAGGTAGATGTTTACGGCAGAGCTTTCTGGGGCAGCAGGGACCTGTGTGGCTTTAGGGACAAGCAGCCAACCCCGCTCATCATCTCTAAAAGCCTTTCAGTGATGGGGAAACCTGGGTGTGCAGCATGCACAGCCTCATGGAGGGACTTGGCTGAACTCCAAGGGCTCTGGTGCAAGTATCATGCCCCGTGGATGAGCCAGGAAGGTGCTGGTGGCCCTTGCATCTCCCCAAAGGTGCTCACAGCCACCCTCGCTACCTGTGTCCCCAGCGCCGAGGAGATGGGCTGCCCTGGCTTCTGCTAATGCAGAGCTGGAAGGGACCTTGCAACCGGAGTGTGGCCTGCCAAATTTCCCCCCACCCTCTGACATCTGTCATCCCCAGGTTTGTTCAGACTGTGATTACTGTCTTCTAGCTGCAAGCAGTACATACCTGCCCATAACAAAGCAGGATCAACGGGCAAGTTGAGCGATCAGTTAAATCCCCGGAGCGGGGTGCGTGGCTGTGCTGGCCGAGGGGCTGGGGACCACGGAGGGCAGGGCTTCACCCCACGGAGCCCGGCAAACGGGCCAAGCTGTGGGGCAGCGATGCCCATGTGGATTTTCTGAGCCATCCCAAGCCTGGCTGCGAGTGGTACCAAGATCACGACGATGGTGGTTGGGGCATTTCATCCCTTTGTGCCTTGTCTGCAGCTTGAGCAGCTCCCTGTGCACCAAAAACCTGTCTGGATCCAGGAGCCGGGCACAAAATACTCCTGATCCTGCCAAAGCACATCGAGCTGTGCACAGACACTGGCAGCAATGCAGAAGTCTGCACAGCTCCTTGGTCACCAGTGTTTTTACCGGGTTGCCATCGGTTGCAGAAGCCAGCTGGCCCGGGAACTGGCCCTTGGAAAGGTTTTGATAGGAATTTCTTGTATAAAAGGCAAAAATGGGGGAAAACTCCCACCATGTGGGTGCCCTGCAGCCAGGTAGTGCAGGATTAAGGTCAGTAGAACTGGTAATTTTTCACTGTCCCCTCCACAGTGTTTTATGTTTTCTTGGACACTGCTGAGCAGTGATGGAGTCGATGGCTCTGACTCCCTTTCCTTCTCTTCCCTGAGTAAAAGAGTCTGATTTTAATATAAGCACCCACTTATCTGTCTAAATACTGGATTTCTTTTTTAAGATTTGTTGCAATAGCAAGTGTGTAATGCTAATTGATTTCTTGTATTTCTGCATGCTTCAGATTAGATATATGCAGGTAAGATGCATTTTTTAAAATATTGGTTTCCATCCAGCTGAGGTCTGAGCTGTGAGTAAAAGGGGGTGTGTGTAGAAATCTAACATATTATTTATGACCCACTTAGGCTGTGTTGTGAGTTTCATCTTAAACAAAAAAAATTGGGGAACCCAACATTTCTCTCTTTATTCGTTAGCTGATAGTCTTTGGTGATGTAGCTACAATAAATGCAAAAAATGTAATGCTTGCCATGTTGAAACATACTGAATAGCACATCCAGGATTCCTTCCTAATTTTTTTTGATAAAAATAGTTGCCTTTAACATAAACCAGTAACAGTACTCCCCTGACTTTCCCAACTTGTGCTTGTTCGGAGTTTGCCGTTACTGAAGGCTGAACTGGAGCTCTGCTCTGCATGAGGTTGCTGGACCGCTCTTGAGAGTACCTGACCATGCGTGATTTTCCCTTTTTCTAGAAAATGGGAATGACGGAAGATGACAAAAGAAATTGCTGTTTGCTAGAAATCCAAGAAACGGAGGCCAAATACTACAAAACACTTGAAGATATAGAAAAGGTAAGAACGGAGCAGTCTTTTCTGTACCATCGCCTTCCACCTCATCACTTGGTCTTGCGTTAATCTCGCTGTGTTAGTTCTCGCCGCGAGAGCTGGCAGCTGCGATGAGGCAGGATCAATGCATTCACGTGTAAAATTGGAGAGAAGGAGGATCCAGAAAACCCATACTGACAAGCACAAATGTGCAGCCTGTAACCGCGGGAGCCAAACAGCATATTTTTTCTGATCGCTGCGTATTGGAAATAGGCTGAAAACCTTCCCGCTGCGTCCCCCCTGCCCTGGGGTAAGAGACTCCCACTCCTCGCTCTGCCAGGCCGTTCTTGCCAAGAAGAGCCGCGTCTGTAGATACATTATCACTTTGATTGCTACGGAATCATTTCTTTGTTCTGGGCCTTTTTCAAAAGTGCTAAAGCTGTGCTGACTTGTCATTGAAACTAATTGGATTAAAAGTAGCATTTTGCTGCCTGAATTCGTGGCTTTTAATTGGTTTTGATAAATTATTGTTGTGCCTTTCTTTTGAAAAAAAAAATAAATGAACACCTCAGGAAGACAGCGGAGTGGTGGATGTGGCTGGGGGGGGGGGGGGGGGTTTGCAGGTGGTTTCTGCTCTGAGGAGTGCAGCAGGGATGAAGAACAACAGAGAAAATTAATCTGCCATTTCTAATCACCCTAACGCTTTTGTTTCACCCTTTTTTGCAATTATTTGCCTCTATCTGCTGAAAGTTCCCGCAAAGAAAGCCGTGAGCGAAACCGGCACGGTGCAGTAACATTGCCCATTTTCCATAGAAATGCCCCAATGTATGTGGCGTTGATGTAAAAGCCCTTGCTCCTCGGGAACAGCCACAGCCCTGCTTGGTCAGTCTAGAGGAAGAGTTAAATTATCGCTTTGGTATCCATGAAAAAGGCTGGCGAAGGCTTGGTAGGTTCTGACAGCGTCTTATGGGCAGAGGGTCCTGTCTTTGGTGCATTGCATTGGGGTTTTTTTTGCAGTTACCAGTCAGGAAGACATTTCTATTAATATGTATTTGTTCAGAAAGGCATTTCCAATGTAATCACATCATCGGCGCTTTTTCAAGGGCAAAATTCTGGTGAGATAACCAAAGAGCTGAAAAGGTGCTGCAGAGCTCTTCCCGACGGCAGCGAGGTGAAGAAACTGCGTGGTTTCCATCCCTCTCCCTGCAGGTTTGGCAGGAGAGGGGTCTGCGCCCACCCGCACCTGGGGGTCTTGCACCTTCCCACCCCCGACGCGGGGGGCAAGGGGAGCGCAGGCTGGGGGCACCCACGGGGGTGCCTGGCTCCCTCTCGGGTCCCTGGCACAGCCCGGTCTGGAGAGTTGCGTTGCCGTTCGTCTTCCTTTGCAAGTGATTAAATTCATTAAAAGCTGGCTGCTCCCTGCCCAGGTAAAGGTGGCTGGTGGAGCAGGGAAAAATACCTGCCGTGCACAAAACCCACCTTCCTCCCTCCTCTTCGGTGTTTCAACCGCTTTTCCCTTTACCTCTTGCAGAACTATATGAACCCCCTGAGGCTGGTACTGACTCCCCAAGACATGGAAGCTATTTTTATCAATTTGGAGGTAACGGCGTAGACGTAGTGGCTTAAATCTTTGTTCGTTTCACGGCAGCTCTGCCACCTTCCTGCTTAACTGAAGGCTCAGATTTCACGTTAGATTTGTGCATTCACCTGTAGAGGTTCAGTCCTTCGTGTGCTGCGGAGCTTGAACGGGTTTAGGGGATATTCTTTAACACTCAGTTTTAGAGCTGGGGATTATATGAACCCTAGGTAAGAAAACAATTTTATACGGAGGATGTTCGAGCGCTGGGGCTGTGTATTTCAGCTGTACTGAGATGGTTTACGCACACTGCAATGAAGGAATTGATTCCTACTCTGGCTTGCACGTGGTCTGGGTTGGAGCCTGCTCGTCTCCTCCGCTCCCTCCAGACCTGCAAAAGGGACTTCAATGCACATGGAAATCGTGGGGCATAACCTCCTAACAGAATTACACCCTGGCCGTTTAGGGCTGCGTCTCACTAGAATGACCTGTTTTAAAAACAGCTAAAAAGAGAATAAAGAGAAAATGACTGCCTGATGAAGTGGTGAATGTGCATTTCTTTAGGCTGTGTTTGCCCACTCGCTTTGGCTGTGTTTAAAGTATTGATCGTTTCTTCGTTTTAGGACCTAATTAAAGTGCACTTCAATTTCCTGAGAGCCATCGACGTCTCGATGATGTCTGGAGGAAGCAGCCTGGCAAAAGTGTTTCTGGAATTCAAAGAGAGGTAAAGGAAACCCAGTATTTGGGCAGCTCCAGTTTCAACAGAGACGGGTTGATGTTTGCAGGGCCTGTTCCAGAGTTTGGAGCAGAAATGCCTGCTGCAGCAGACTGGTTTTGTATCCTCCGCAGCTAGATGCTCTCAGGCAGCCGAAACATCACTCGGTGCTGACACTTGAGCAAGCAAATCCAGCCATGATGGTGTCGGGTCGCCCAGAGCAGAGCCTGGGACATGTCAGAATCCCAGCATGGTGGGGGTTGGAAGGGCCCTCTGTGGATCACCCAGTCCAACCCCTGCTGAAGCAGGGTCACCCAGCGCAGGCTGCACAGGACCTTATCCAGGCAGGTCTGGAATATCTCCAGAGAAGGAGACTCCACAACCTCCCTGGGCAGCCTGGGCCAGGGCTCTGTCACCCTCAGAGGGAAGATGTTCTTCCTCGGGTTCATACGGAACTTTCCATGCTTCAGTTTGTGCCCGTTGCCCCTTGTCCTGTCGCTGGGCACCCCTGGAAAGAGTCTGGGCCCATCCTCCTGACACCCACCCTGCAGATATTTATTGGCATTTCTAAGGTCCCCTCTCAGCCTTCTCTTCTCCAGGCTGAACAAGCCCAGCTCCCTCAGCCTTTCCTCTCTGGCTGACCTGGATAGGTCGGCGTGGCTCCTGTGGACTCTTGCTCCTGCAAGCCCGTGTCTGCCTTTTGCTGGGCTGGCTGCCCTGTGGGACCGGCTGTTCTGCCAGCTGACCGTACGATGTGTTTACAGGGATGCGTTGGAGGGGATAAAGATGGGAACGCTCAGATTGTGGCGAGCCAGAATGGAGTAGAACCCTGCTCGCCTTTGAGGGTTTATTCTAGTCTCCTGCAAGCGGCAGCGGGGCTTTGAGGGCCTGTGATGTGGTGGGATGATTCCTTCGCAGGGGAGACGTCGCTCCGGTTGGATCAAAGCGATTGCTCACTCTGAAAAATTGCGTAGTTGGCATTGCTTGTGGCCCGCACCTATTGCATGATGAATAAATGTGGAAGTTGCTTGCACAAACAGAATAGGTTCTGTGTTTAGGCAGCTGTGAGCAGGAGTACCCCAGAACGCAAAGATAAGGTTAATAAAAGCCTTTAATATCCTTAATACTAATCAAAGGCCTGATTCATTGTGGAATCGTGCCAGGGTGTTATTTCACTGTGATTAAACCAGTGTCTAGACACAGAAACACCATTCAGAAGTCAATAACTCCAGAAATACCATCTGCATTAATAAGACACTGTAAGGTCAGATATTCCATCATTCACAGCGCCTCTTTCTAAAAAGGGAATGTTTTCTGGGTTAAATTAAAAAAAAAAAGTTTCTGAAGAAGAATGCAAATAATTTAAAAATACTCATAAAACTCACTTAGGTGATCTTGATCTCCTAATTCCTGGCTTGGCTCCGTGCCTGCCAGTGCCATCCCCGGGGCAGAGCTGTGCACGTGGGGAGCAGGGGAGGGACGCGGGAGGAGTTGTGGAGGTGGCACTGCTCCCCAGGGAGATCTGCAGGGCTGTGCGGGCGCGCGAGGCTCGGTTGTGGGCTGACAGCCTTTAAATAAACGTTTGCTGCTGTTAATTTGCTGGTGGGAGCTCAGCAGAGCGCTGGTAGCTGGTGGGTTTCATGCAGGTGTGTGAAAGAACCTGCCCAGTTCCTAAGGGAGTTTGGAAGCAACTTTTTGAAGGAGCTAAAAGCCTTCCTGAGAGGCAAATGCAGGAGCCAGACCGATGGCTGCGAGGTGGCAATGGCGTTGCCAAAGCTGCTGTGTTCAGCCCGTTGGGGTCTTGAGGACCTCAGCGTTGTGAGGAACTGCTGCTCATGGGGAGTTTTGGCTTGGAGAAGACCCAAAACTGAGCTCTCGGGGATGAAGAGTTTGGAGCAGCCTGATCTGTTTGGAGCAGGGTCCTCCCTACATCAGGAAAGATGATGATACCTCATTTTCCAGCAAGGAAATGGAGCTGCGGGAGGAGAAAGTGAGCTCAGCTGGAGAGACAGTGTTCCCCCACCAAAAGGAAAGGTGGACCTCCAAAGCCCCTGCTTGGTCCCTGTGTAGAAGACCTTCCTCCGTCAAATGTGTCCATGACAAATAGCTCTCGCTTCCCTACGCATCCTCAGAGACATCCCAGCAAAATGATGTATTGCTCCTCTGCTTTGCAGCCCTTTTTTTTTGTTTCCTTTTGAAAGGAAATGGTTTGTAAATCTCTTTCTCTGAAAGCTGGAGTTTGAATTTATGCTCCTGAAGCCTCTTTGAAACTCTCCGAGTGCTGGCAAGGTAGATATTATTGTGCATGCTCAGAAGTTGTCAAGGGGAAAAGGTGGAAGAATGATCTGTATTGGCTGGGGGGT